TGATCCTTTCAGCCAACTTGGAATTGACAAAAGTTTGAAATCCTGCAATTGTTCATGGCAGTCGCATTTGAAAAGTTGAGATCTTTGTTCCATAAACCATGGCCATGCATGACCTTTCTATGTATGCTCATGCTTTTCTCATGCAAATTTCTATTTTGCACATGCAAACTTCTATTTTTCTCATGCAAACTTCTATTCTACACACAGTCTACAGCAGGGATGTCCAACCTTGGCAACCTTAAGACCTGCAGGCTTCAACTTCCAGGCTGGCTGAGATATTCTGAGAGTTGAAACACCACAAGTCTTTAGCTCATGACCAACCCCAATTTTACAATTTTTTGCTGCAGTCATTACGTGAACCACATGGTTATGAAGGGAGTCCAACAGTGTTCTTCAGTTGCAAAAAAGAAAAGAAAAGCCAATGCAGTCCTAGGCTGCATTAACAGAGGGATAAAAACCAAGATCATGTGAAGTCTTAGTACCACTTTATAATGTCTTGGTAAGATCTTGGAATACTGCATCCAGATGTTGAGATACTAGAAAGAGTGCAGAGAAGAGCAACTAAGATGATTAGGGGACTGGAAGCTAAAGCATACGATGAACGGTTGCTGGAATTGGGTATCTCTAGTTTAATGAAAAGAAAGACTAGGGGAGACATGATAGCAGTCTTCCAATATCTCAGGGGTTGCCACAAAGAAGAGGGAGTCAAGCTATTCTCCAAAGCATTTGAAGGCAGGACAAGAAGCAATGGGTGGAAAGTTATCAAGGAGAGAAGCAACCTAGAAGTAAGGAGGAATTAACTGACAGTTAGAACAATTAACCAGTGGAACAACTTGCCTCCAGAAGTTATGGATGCTCCAACACTGGAAGTTTTTAAGAAGAGATTGGACAACCATTTGTCTGAAATGATATAGGGCTTCCTGCCTGAGCTGGGGGTTGGATTAGAAGACCTCCAAGGTCCCTTCCAACTCTTATTCTATATGTATGTTGCCAAGCTCCCAAATTTTGATGACATGACTGTGGGTTTGCTGTGAGACTCGTAAGTGGAAAGCAGTCGTAAGTCACTTTTTTCAGTGCCGTCGTAACTATCAGCAGTCACTAAATGAATGGTCATAAGTCAAGGATAACGGTATAGACTCCCCGGCTAGTTAAACCGTCTTCTACGTAGAGGAGTGGGGTGAATTAAACAACAGCTGGAAACAGCAAGCAAAGAAATATATTTCAGCGAACCGGAGGATGCTGTTTTGAGTTCTTACAGATGCTTCTCTCCCAAATGTCTTCAGGAATGTTTCACATTGCTCTGTAGCATTTAGCTATTAAAGGGGACAGCTCTTGACAGATCTTTCTTCTGCGAATCTGCTTAATCCTGGCATTTTGGCTGCGCACCAGGTAATGTATTTCTACCCCCACCAGCAATCCTGGAGGTATCGTTTCAAAAGCAATACGAATGCTGAAATTCTTAGGTTGTTTTCTGCATTAAGACCTGTTGCGTGCCAGGGGAGGAAAATGGAAAGAAAGAAAGAAAAAAAAACCTGAACAGATGGAATGTTGCATTTATGGCATGTGACTTGAGACATGCTACCTATTTTAAATCGCTGTTCCTGCCATGCAATTGGTGTTATGGTGGCATACAGTGTGTGATCACAATCTGATGGAAATGGTAAGCTCCTCACTAGGATTTGCAACATAAATTGGAAGCAGAATCCAATTTTCACTGCAGAATGGCTCGCAGGCCCACGATCGAACTATATTATATTTTTAGCTAACCATTACAGGCTCCTGTCACAACTTCAGAAGTATTTAGTGTTACGACTGTGGTTCCTGCTCTTCTTGATGTCTACAACCAAGGCTGAAGTTTGTTGTTGTGAGTTCTCCAATTGCTTCTAGTTGAATTGCTACTGACCAGAAGATGTAGGCATGCGTGGAAATCGCCCCATAGTGCTTTACGGCACTTTCTGAGTGGTTTACAGAGTCAGCACATTGCCCCCAATAGTCTGGGTCCTCATTTTATTGACCATGGAAGGATGGAAGGCTGAGTCACCCTTGAGCTGGTCAGCATTGAACCATTGGCAGTGAGCAGAGTGGGCCTGCAATATTGCATTCTAACCACTGCACTCTTGGAATGACTGAGTAGAGGTTTCTGATCCAGGATTGGCCACAATTGGCGCAGAAGATTATATTGTACAAAGATCCTCCCAGTCATGGTTGTCGCCTGCTTTCCAAGTAGAATGCCAACTCATAAAATAATTCTATGATCTTTTTAGAGTTGCCAATAGAAAGGGAGGGGGGAGCAGTGTGACAGCTTGCAACCGAAAGTGCATTCCATAAATGTTTTCAAAGATAGTAACTAGGTGACCAAAGTTTCTGCCGGGCAAAATTCTAACTGGAAAGCATGATTGATGACTCTTAACTATGGATGTGTCCCATTGGAGAATATGAATTATGATACACCCAGGGGGTGGGAGGGAAAAACCTGGGTCAAGGGTGACAATGAATGATGTGTCTCAGAGTCGGCTACACCCAGGCAATGCCGCATCTTTTAACTCCCAATAAGTCCTTTTGAAGTTTTGGAAATCTGGCTCTAGACTCATGATTTAAATGGGGTTAAGTGTTGGAATCCTGACAGCTAGCCGACTCTGAGACACATCATTCATTGTCACCCTTGACCCTGGTTTTCCCTGCCCCCTGGGTGTATCATAATTCATATTCTCCAATGGGACACATCCATAGCCAAAAGTCATCAATCATGCTCTCCTGACATAGAAGTTGCGAGCCTAGGAAAAACGCCAAATTGTTCATTACTAATACAACCCATCTAGGAATGAAAGATCTCTGGATGGCCTCCCAAATCCTCAATCTTGCTAAGACTGAGCCTATGTTTGTTGGACTACTGTGATGTGCTCTATCTTGGGCTGTCCTTGAAGGCCACTTCTAAGTTAAAACTGGTCTAGTATGAAGCAGTCCAAGAAATTATGGGCCCAATACCACTATTCCATAAGTTTTGTTGATTACCAGTGGACTTCTGAATGAAAACCAAGATATGTGTGTGCCCAAAAAGCTCTTCATCACTCAAGTCCTGAATATTTGTAGAACCTCCAATTATCTAGCTTATAAGATCTGGCAGGGTTGACAGCTCTGGATGTCAAACAAATTTTGTCATCTTTTAGGGCTCACCTTTATTCTTCCCTATGACAATTCCTGCCTTATGGATCAGCCTCCACCTGAAATGCAGTGGACCTGGCCCTGCTGATAGTAAGTCACTGTTTCTCAATCTTGAAAATATGTGGACTTCAATTCCATGTTGAAATCTACACAACATGGCTGGCTGGGGAATATTGGGAGTTGAAGTTCACTCATCTTCGAGCTCTCCTCTTCGTGCTGCTTCAGAATAGTACATGAGCTTGTTATGAACATGAATTGTGTGCCTGTCTTTTCATGCAGTATGTTTTATTCCATTGTTTTATCATTTTCCTTTGTACTGGATGTTTTTAACCCTTGTGAGCTGCTCAGAGTCATCTGGTGAGCAGGCAACCGTCTAACATGACTAAAAAAAGTTCTCCCCGAATGCACAAGAGGGGAATGTTCAAAAAAATAATCAGACCTCCCAACTCAAGAGCATTGAGTTGCTTCTTGAAAGTGCACTCACTCTCAAGAGATAAACAATCCTCATTTCCAGGGTAGAGGGGCCATGTTCCCTCTTGTTTACACATAGATTTTTCATCTTTTGTTCCTGTTTGAGCAACTTAGGCACTGAATAAATGATTTCCAGAGGCAACAGAAAATAGAAAACAGGAGTGCCCTTTTTTCATATTTCCCATCGCCCCTTTTATCCTCAGCTTTCAGGACCAGCGTGTCCATGTCCAGCAAAGATACCCTATCATTTCAAGAACCAAACAGGTTAAAATTTGTGGGCAGCATATTTCTCCATTCCTTGTGTAATTTTCCAACCTGATGCCCTTCAGATGTGTTTGTAGATAGAGAATAACCTGGCTATTTAATTTCTATCCTCTGTCGCTCTAGGGGAAGATAAGGGTAGCTAATCATAACAACAGATAGAAAAATAAAATAAAATAAACATTAATTAAAATAGACCTCAATGAAATTCATAACAATAAACTATCTAGTAGAAATACCAACTCTTTGGCTAAGGATGGTGAGAAACGAGGCCAAGGGAAGCTAAACTACAACGCCCAAAATTCTTGGCTGGCATGGCCATTCTGCCCAACGTGGGCTAGGCTGGATGCCCCAGATTGGATTCCTTCTCTAAGCACTCACTCATTTCTCTTACAAATTCACAATGAAGTCCCTATATGGGCCTAGCCTTACATTTAAGGTTTTAAAGATTTTAAGGTTGCAAGGATAAAAATAAAAGAACAGCAGAATGATGGATAATACTTTGAGCTTCCTGGCAGAGCTGCAGGCTAAAGCTATTAAATAACATAATCATCATCATCATCAGAGGACATTCCTGCAGAAGTAGACAGTATTAATACATAGGAGATCATAGGAAGGAATTTTAGGTTAGGAAATGCCATGTTCACTCATCACAAGTTGTATATTGTCTCATTGTTGGCATGTTCCTGGGAGGGATAAGCAAAGAACATTGACAGTGTATGCCAAGAGTGTACTGTATATTCCCAACAGGCTCACCCCAGATGTGGAAGTCACCCCAGCTGGCCAGTTAAAGCCAAAGGGAACCTCTACTAGGCAACAGTGATGTACTAGAGATGGATGATCATTTTAGTGACGATGGCAAAATCATCCATTCATATTGTGCAGGAGAACACAATGGGAAACCCATATATTGTAACCAATATGCCCCACATGGATAGAAATATCTTTTCTTTTTTTTAAAAAGGAAGACTTAAAGGATCGTGAGGGACAGTTAGTCAAGGAGAAGATATGCTCAGTAAGATTCAACATCAACTGGATGACATAATCAATCAATCAATCAATCAATGAATCAAGCAAGCAACCCTCAACCCCAGGGATGTACGTACTAGTTTCGGCAGTTTCATATTCACTATCTCTCAGCAATTCAAAGATGTCCACTTCCACTTTGGCTTTCCCTGCCCTCTCAGGGGCACGATTGATCCGGTTCTTGGCCAGTGTGATGGAGAGCCGTTCCCCTCGGCTGCATTCCATGGGGTCGTCCAAAATGGCGGCTGAAAACAATCAGACAGAAAATTTAGCCGGTCAAGGAATGGTGCTCTACCCAGATTCAAAACGGAGGCACAACAGAATCGAATCGTATAATTCCAAACTCCAGTAGAGGAAAGTTAATCATTTTAATTGCACAATCTAAAAAGACCATTTTAGGGACAGGCCATACCAAAGAGTTATGTTCTGCATTCTCATTTGTGCGTTGCAGCAAACCAAGAAGAAATACGGTGTATTTTGCCGGGTTTTAGAATGTTTGTCAAAATGAAATTTAACACGAATCTCGCTGTTCAGCAGTGAGTTAGAAACTTCTGCAATATCATTATCCAAGCCTTGTGAATAAAATATGTAGTTCTTGCTTGTCTAATCAAGTTAAACCAGAGAAGTTGGTCAGAAAAGGTACATTAATCATTTGGTACATGAATTATTCTTTCTATATTTCATGTTTACTCAAGACCTTTCCTCCTCCCCTTTTATTCTAGCCGTCATGATGGTTGATCGGCCCTTCGTTCCTGAAAATACAGGGCAAACAAAAAAAGCCTTAGTAGCAGCCACCGGTGTGAAAAGGGAATAATTTTGCACCAAACACTGTCATTTTTGCCTTTGATTTTTGTTTTGGGGTGGATGAGTGCTCTTTGAAAAAGGCAACATTTGTCTGAAGTCATACACTGCTGCTGAAATTTCATGAACCATCTAGGTCCAAAACAAATTTCTTTCCTGACCCTACCTGGAAAAGCATTGACTGAGTACGGCACCATCTGCTTACAAAGCAGATACTTCCTGCTCCGCAGAGCAAGTCTTCTTCTGCAGTCTAAGATAAACCCTCATTTTTTTTTTTCTGTAAGTCTATAGGAATTCCTCAAAAAGCAACTACATGGATAGCTTTTCCCGAAGCCACACTGCATATCTCCGAAGAACGTGAGACTCGTTCACATAATCACAGTTCTAGTCAGTCAACCATCCTCTCTCCTTCTCCAGGTTGTTTCTTCTCTATCTATTACCACGGGATAGAATCTGAAGGACTGGTTCACTTGAACTTACTCATCCAGCCAGCCAGCCAGCCAGCCAGCCAGCCATCTATCCATTAATTCCCTTTTTTAACGCACTGGTTGTTCCCACCGTAAAAAAATAAGATTGGGAAGTTTGAAATTCAGCATGTTGTGGGAATATGAGAGCATTTGCACCAAGACAAATTCCTTGTGTGTCCAATCACACTTGGCCAATAAAGAATTCTATTCTATTCTATATGAGTTTTTGAACACTGTGTATTTTATAGACACAGACATGGTGGCACAGTGGTTGGAATGCAGCACTGCAGGCTACTTCTGCTAACTGCCAGCTGCCTGCAATTCAGAAGTTCAATCCTGACCAGCTCAAGGTTGACTCAGCTTTCCATCCTTCCGAGGTTGGTAAAATAAGGACCCAAATTGTTGAGGGGCAATAGGCTGACTTTGTAAACCACTTAAAGAGGGCTGTAAAGCACTGTGTATATAAGTCTAAATGCTATTGCTATCTTCCTTCCTTCCTCCCTTCCTTCCTGGATATATTGATCTATTTAGTTGGTATTGAATCTTTCCCATACATCCCTTTCTCCTCCTTTTGTCAATTCCTGTAGCATTGGATCTGTGAGAACATAATCAGTCTACATTGTTGGTGCCGATTTCCAGGCAGTGCTTCCAATAACCCCTTTATTTGAAAACAGATGCCAAATCATGCTTGTGCGTGCTCAGCTTGATAGCGCAATCAAATTCGATTAGTTTTTCTTTGAGTTAAAATTGCCACCTCGTGTTTCAAAGCTTTTTTCCCCCATTTTGTGCCAACTCTTCCAAACTGACCCCTCTTAAATAACCTGCAGGGTCTGATTTTTAGACATTTAAGAAGGTCCTTCAAATGCTTCTTACAAAGTCTTCTCTTTTATTATTCTCTCTAGGGTTTGATTAAAGCTAAATGGCTCGAATTGCTTGTATTGATTATTATACCGTATTAGGAAATCTTACCTTGTTTGTTATGTCATTGTGATATGGATTTATATTGCATACTAACTAGACAATGTTGAGTCATCATTTCAGAGATATTTCCTTGCCTACACAGAGAAATAGAATGATCACAGATGGACCAAAAAACAGAAGGATTGACTTCTGATTTCCTGCTGCTTTCCCCGTTGACTTTCCTTGTAGGAAGATGACAGCGAGCACTAGAAATAATGATCACATGACCATAGCTGACTACCACAGGGTGGCCATAATTCTGCCAAATATCAATCCCATGAAAGTCATAAGTCCCAGTTTTTGGATGCATTCTTTAACTTAGCTTATTTGAGGTATATAGCTCAAATATTATTGTCCTACGATTTACAATTGCGCCCAATGGAAGGTTACAAACAATCAAACAGACACAAGAGTTTTAGCGGTATGTAGATTTTCTTAAAAAATTAATCTGTACTGAAAACACATAACTAAGACAGCAGTAACACGAGAGAAATTTGAGTTCAAGGCACACAGATAATTTGAGCAAGCATCTCAGCCCTCCCTGCTTCTCACAAAGATAAAGTGAGGGAGAGGGAGGCACATTCAGAATTGCAAGATTCGGCTACTGTAAACGTAAAATAAAAGTAGTTATTAGCATTCATAACTCTGGTTCCCTGGTCTGGT